TTCCAATTTTGAAAGTCAATTGTATATGGAGTAATACAAATATTTAAAATAATGCTTTGCCTGACTTGAATCACTTGCCACAGAAGGCTAAATGCTTTGCATTATTATCTTCTATTGCTTACCATAGCAGTCTGTTCTCCACAACTTCTAACAGCAGTACTTTCATATTTACCTTCAGATCAGCCATTAAAATGTTCAATAGCAATACTGTACGTGGTATCTCTCTCTGTCAAAACCAGATAGAAATACTTCTCCTTCACTCTCAATTCACAGTTGCCTTGAGCTCTGTTAATCAGCCAGTTCTCAAACTCACACTGTTTTAAAAATTATACAGAAATGCTGATTAGAATCTCATGCAGTTCTCAGTCACCTAAGTAGATTGTCACATATGGAGCTTCCTTCACCAGCAACATGATTCAAAGAAATTTGGTTTGCCTGACAAGACCTACTTCCCACAATTAGATATCCATCGTTTTGTTCTTGATTAGTGACCAACTTTTCCATTGCTAAGCCTTGGAACAATGTGAACTTAAGTGTCTTCTGCTGTTCAAATAATCTTTCTGAATGTTGGTACAGTCTTTTAAACTTACTGCAGTATTTGAAGAACTTTAGTGAAATACAAAGACCAAGAACTAGGAACTTCTGAATCAGTACAGTAAGTATTCTGGGCTTCAAATACCAGACAGTGCTAGTTTCTTCTCTAGCTGAGCAGTCAAAATTTGAAATCAGCTCATACTTTCTCCATCATATGAAAGATTATATAACATGGAGGGAAAAAATGCAGACAGCAATCAGTGCTCATTTTGGGAACTCAGATTTTTCACTTAGTCATTTCATTTCTCAGTCATTCAAACAGGAACTACTGTCAAATCAGTAAAATACAGCATGATGGAGACAATCAGGAGACTTTTGGTAGACGCAGAAGGCAATTTCTTGACACAACTGACCAGTGAAAATGTGAAGGCTGATGACAACCTAAGAGGCAGTGACAATGCGTGGTTACTCTAACCAAAGGACTGCTGTACATCGAGGAGTTAGTACACCTAAGAGCTCATCCACCTAGGAGTTCACCTGAGGAGGCCGAGGCCTGTGCTGCACAAATCCCTTGGCGGCAGGACAAACTCAGCCAGCTCCTTATTAGCAGAGGAGCCTGCAGGCAGCTCCCACTCAGCACCTGTGATTACACTACCTGCGTGGCCTTGCCTTTAATCTAAAAGCATAGCAAGACGTTCTCACATGTACATCCATTGTTTGACAGTAGAAATTATTAAGAGAGTTTTCATATAAGAAAATTCTGTAACAGCTTGAATAATGAAAATGGAATAATGAAGCTTGAACAACGAAGACTGTCTCTTACAGACACAGTCTGCCCAATATGCTCCACACCAATCAGAGGCCCATCAGCTGCACAACTCAAGGTTCCCAGCATCTAAAGGGATTTAAGATTACCTGTACCATTCTTACTTTATTTAAGCTAACACTATAAAGAAATGGCACTTAAAATGACATTTTACAGAGTCTGAGTGCCTTCTTTATTGGGATTACAACAGACCAGCATTTCCCAAGGCAAAACACCATGATATAGTGGAGTTTAAGATCCTGAAAGAGCTAAGCAAGATGGACAGTAGAATTACAACCCTGGACCTTCACACGAGCAGGATTGCTCAAGGGTTTGCTTAGAGACAGCCCTAAAGTGTAAAGGTGTCTGGTAGGGCTGGTTGTTCTTCAAGGATGACATTCTCAGAGCACCGGAATGGCCCATTCCAACATGCAGAAAGCTGGGAAAAATTTTGTGAGTTGGCCAGCGCTGGTAAAAGGGGAACTCCTGACTCAGCTTAAACACAAGTAGTGTTGAGAGTACAGAAATGGAGACGGGCTGCCTGGATGAACAAATAAACATCGGTTTCAAAGGGAAAAACTAAGGAAACTATGACCCTGCTGGTCTGTAGGTGACCTAGAGATAAGATACAGAAAAGGCTAAGGTACTCAAGTGAAATCTAATGATTCTGCTACATATGCATTTGCATTATATTTTCTAATGAGTAAACTATACCTTCCTTTAAGAGGTCAGTAAATATTTCTTTCAGATATTCTGAGACATACATACAAAACTTAACTGAAGGCAATTCAAGAGTATTACTGAAGGCTCAAACAGGACAAAACTAAATACTAGGCTAAGATGAAATTGCTTGGAAGTATTAAACCTATTAAAAAGGTTATTCTTCGTTATTCTTCAATGCACTGAAGTGACCAAATGATTCAGTAAACTAAGGTTTCTTTTTGTTTGTTTTTTAATAGCGGAATTCGGTGGTGTTTATCCTTAAGAAAAAGGTCTAAAAATATCTCATACAATAAAGAACAACCAAACCCACACACACTTCTAAAATAAAAGACCAGAAAAAACATCTTATTAGTTGGGAGATGTTGTACATACAAGAACAACTAGTATTAAATCTCTAAATCATTACACTGCATTCCCTCAGGCTCCATGGACTCAGATAACACAGCACATAGCAAGAGAAGGGATAAGTCTAGGCGATTTCACAAATTTCTACTGTGCTTTTAGAGAATTTGCATGACCACACACCTTTCTGCACATCTAGCTAACTTAAAAAAAACCTAAAAATTTATACATACGGACACATGTATACAAGCATCTTCTGTTTTGCATAGTTTCAGTGTTTTTTCCTGCAAGTCCCTGCCAGCTTCCCACACCACTGTTAAATGTTCCCCCCATTCACACAGTTTATTATCTCACAGGATAGCAATACATTCCCTTCTCACACTGACTTTCAGCCTAATTTTTTTCCTCTAGGCATCTTTCTTCAGCCTGTCTTTGGACACCTATGGCTTTACCAGAGCACCTTTCTATAATGTTATTGATTTTAATTCACAATATTGTCCTATTAGCTTGTATCTGATGTCAGAGTCCTCCTAATGCTTGCCCCCAAGTCCCTGTTAGCAAAGGAGAACTCTACACGAAGCTGCAAGCCCACTTTGCAAAGTAAAAGGGATAGTGGTTTTACTTAAAGGGCAAATATTTGACAAATCTTAGACATAAGCAAAGATACTTTTCCTCAGCCATTATCTCTGACACTGCAGAACTGTTCAAGTGGCTTTTTTTTTTTTACATAAAACATAGCCAAGATAACCTATTTTAACAGCTTGTGAAAATAAAATGTATTTCCAGTATTTTCAAATGCAATCTACTTCAGTATATTTCCTTATGAAAAGTCCTCTCATTAAAAGAAAAAAAGGAAAAAGCTGTGCAGAACATCAGATGTGCTTTTTCTCAACATGATTCGTATTAGCTTCACATTAGGAAAAAACCAGATAAATGAGTAATCTTTATGCACATACCACAATTAGCAATGAAAGATTTGTGACAAAAACATGCTGTATAATAATATAAACAGTTATTCTAGCAAAGCTACTTTAGCTTTTCTGATAATGTTCCCTTAGCAAAGAAAAATCGCACATAATAATGTCAAGGTATTTGTTCCTTAAGTCACTCTCTCCAATTTAAATCCATAAACACACACCAATGAAATGCACTGGGACAAAAAGGTACATATTTATTGAAGCATTAATGGATAATATGTTGGAAAATTGTTGCAATTAGGGGCCAGCTCCTCATTTTACAGAAAATTTACTCTCTCACCAATACAATGGAGATACAATGACTTACAATAGCTGAAAATTCGATTCTGGCATGTTGCCACTATTTATAAAGATGAAAATTAGTACTTCTGCATTCATTTTTTTGGACATAATTACTACCTTTGCACAAAATGAAAAGCAATACATGCTGAGGGAATATGACCAAGGATGGCCTGGTAGACACCATACATACATTAAAAATACTGCAACATTTTCTCGTTTCTATGCTGTTTCTGGACTTATGTGGTGCTGAATAGACTTACTACGTAATGCACTCAAAGTTCAGTCATGCTACCTGCAGACAGATTGTGTGAAAGAACTTCTTACTTCCTTCATCCAATTTACCAAAGCCATTCTACTGAGCTATATCATCTCCCCCAAGCCAGACAAGGCTCCAGCCTGAGATAGGATCTTTCCAGGTTCTGTTTTTTTCTATTTTTTTTTTTTAAACTTCAATTTAGAATAATAGTATAAGCCACTCCAAATATCACTCTATGTCCTGTGCATAAGACCTTCTGTGTATATCCTAAAAGCTACTGCAGGAACGCAGGTCCCCTGAACAGTGTTACCTTTTTCTAGAAAAAGTTATGAACTACATACCAAAAACTTTTACATATTCTTGGATCACTACAAATGAATCATTCTATGACTCTGAAATATTTTGGTTCCCAGAGTAGAAGTTATTTTGATATATGACTACACTGCAGCTCCAAAGGCAGCAAAGTAGTTCATGTCAGAGTTCCCTGTTGATGAGCAGCAGCAAGTTCAGATATATCTTACTTACACAGTAGTTAAAATAGTATAGACAGGTTGCCAGAGTTCATTTTTGTCTGAAACAGAGTGGTTTTTTTTCTTTCCTTTTTTACTTCTTCTCTTCCAAATTAAAATCAACAAGCATAAAAGTCAGTGGTTTCCTACTGCAGTTGGATTGTCTCACACCTGCAGAAACTCCATATGGATCCCACTCCCTCCCTGTGGCCCCAAGACAGGTACGTGCTTATACAGCAGTATTTGCTGCATAATTTGACATTCTAATTAAGGCTGCTTGAGTGTAAACTACATTCCAAAACAACTTTTTTTAAAAAAAAAACAACTTCCTTAGTTGACATTAATGAAACATTAGTAATATTCTAGATAAATATTAAACACCAAAACTGGAGGTTTGAGATGTGGCCATTTTTTCTGTGACACTGAGTAAATTAAAAACTGAGTAAGAGACTGCAAGGAAAAGGCCGCCCCAGCTGCCACATCGCATACACAGTTATATGTCAGTTCTCATCAAAAGTCATTATTTCACTCAAATACGAACTTTTAGCTCTGACTGAAAGCAATTTATTTACCTTGTGTCTGCATTTAAGTACAACACCATAGGCTCCTGAAACAAAGAAGAAAAGAGATAAACCCTCTCAAAGCAGAAAAAAGCAGCAAGATAATATAGCCTTCAGTCACCTCCTGGCTACAGAATAATAGAGTTCCCAGTATTATTATCCAGAACTTGCACATAGAGGTACTGTACTGAATTTCTGTGCAATATATTAAAATTGCTTGAAAGTAAATGGGTTTTAAACTGCTGAAATTGTTATTTTTTAATATTCTTGTACAGAAGTTGGATAACTTGCGTCTACCCCCTATCTCTACAGAGAAATCAATATAGTAATTTTTTTACAAAAAAACAGCAAACATCACCTCCCCAAAACACAACCGTCCCATTTCTTTCTTTTCTTTCATCTTCCAAACTTTCCCTTCCAACCAAGAATGGAATTAGAAGAAACCGCAGAGAATAAACTGATGTTTCTTAAAACTTGTATATAAGCAATATTTTGCAAATGAAAACTTACTAGCATCAAGAAAACTAAGTCAAATCTATATAATATTCAGATTCATTCTTTAATTAAGATACTACTTACCTTCACCTACAACCCCAAGGATCTCAAATTTATTCATCACATTACCAATGTTAGGAATCTTCATCAAGACAAATTCCTCTTACGGTGAGAGCCACAAAACATGGCACAATGGGGGACGTCCAAAGATTTTGCAGAAGGCAATTGTGAAAAGGCTCTTGGGGGGAGAAAAAATTCAACCTTGATCAAGCAGACTCCTCTCACTCTTTCTTAATTTCTAGGCAGTCAGTAGCTTCCTGGGGAAAGAAGAAGAAATAATGTAATTAGTACTGTGGCTTATTTCAGTAAGAGGGTGCAGTGGTATATATATATGTGTGTGTATATATGTATATATATGACATCAATATTGTCTAACAGACAATTACTTTTGCATTTTATGATTAACAGAGCTTAGCAGCACGTATAATGGACAGAACCTATTGAGAACACATATCAGACAGAACAGCTGGCCTTGTAATCCCATACTTAGTATGTCTATTACAATAACAACTAACTTACATCCAATTATTTTCTACAGAGCACAAGCAAACAAAAATGTTAATAGGAATAACATCAGTGAGAAAAATATATCAGTTAAAAATCGTGTTTAGTCAATTTATTATTTCACCATCGTAATGACAAAAGAGAAGGTAGAAAGAACACTAAGCAATAGAAAATAGTGGTCTTCTACTATTTTCTGTGATTGTGAAAAAAAAATAAAATTAAAAATAAAATTATTGGCTAGATTGACTGGCAATCAGAAAAAAATGTTGTCAACGTTTTGGGTTTTTTTTTTTTCCATGTTTTCCAAGCATTTTTGTAAACTGTCAAATCAAGCAGCTATATACGGGGAAAAGAACAAAGTTTTTTTGTGTCTGTTCTCGGCTCACCACATCTCTTCTATAATCTTAGAAATCTGATAAACTAAACACATCAAAGTTTTGTTTTGCTAATTCAGACTGCATTTCTGCCCCTAACATTAAAAGGCACACATCTCACATTTAAGAATGGGGAAAAAAGCTAAAACCGCATCACCATGAACTGGAAATACATAATTTCTAGTTCAGTGCTCCAAGAACAGGACTACTCATGAGGAACAAGATGGCAAGATAGAAGTATATTAATTTAATTAACTTATGTGTAATGGGTGACTGTGACCTAATGATACCAGGTTCAGCTCACAGAAATGGGAAGTTTCGTGTTATTCCACTATAAACTAGGGGTGCTGCCCAACAGCCCTGTGTTCACTAAGTCACACATAATAAAAGGATGACTCAAGGGTAAAGGGAAATCACAATGACACCAGCCTCAGCAAGACCCAGGGAGATAATCTAGGGGGGTTTGTTATGTCAGAAGCAACTTTAGAGTTAAGAAACCACAGTAATTTGGAAATAAACTTTGCAAATAAAGCAGTGACATCCAATTAAAGGGATGGTCAGGGGTTTTGGTTTTGTTTTTGTGTTGGTTTTTTTGTTTGTTTTTTTGGGGGTTTTTTTGTGGTTTTTTTTTTTTAGAAAAAAAGTTACACACTCCTTAATGGATTATTTCAGTAGCTTAATTTAATATTTTAATTATGTTTTCCTCTTCATTTGTGAATTGTTTAAAATACCCTTTCCTTTCCCTTCCATATAGTCTCCTTCCACCTCATTTGGAAGATACCTGTCACAAAAGCCTTTGCGCTGTTTTGTCCGGGCTTTCTGGCTACAGTAATGAACTAAAAAATGGGCTCCTGGAAAGGCAGGAGCATCTGCTCGGTTGCTCTCATCAGCATGAGCACAGAGCCCACACTGAGCTGCTTTTGCCTTTCTGCTGCAACAGGCCCGTGCCAGGCACACGGGCGCAGCTTCCTGTCCCCATGCTGCAGCTGAGGGACGTTATCGCTACAGAGACTCTGGGAGAACCATTGATGCCATAATGTAAACAAGAGACAAGAAAACAGGCCAGTCACGTTCAGAACAGCAAAAAGACTTGCCAGAAAGGAAGAGTCAGAAAACAGATACTGTGTTTTCTATTAGCACTGTTCAATAACGTCACCAAATCCGCTACTTCATTTCCCAACATTATTCATTGACAAATCTTTCTAGAATTAGTTTGTGAAAGCATTCATTACTTATCTGTGAATGTTATTACCAGGCATTGTCTTTTTGCCTTACAGTATACACTACTTTTAGGATCTATGACAAAAGAGTGGAGAAGCTTATGAGATAATGTATCAATCTCAACAAGAAATTTAGATGCTGTTTCTTCTTTCACTCATTCACAGTTTCTAGATTTCTCACAAACTACTTAAAGCTATACAGGCTTGCCGTTTGTGATCTACTATTGTTATTTTCCTATTTTTAAGACTTCCGCAAGCATATTCAGTACATATCTTATTTTTTATTGGGAAATAAAGGTTAGATTTGCAAGCAGCTAACCTTCCTTTCTGAAATTCAGTACTACATGTCTTCCTCTGCCCACCGATCATGCAGTTTCCCTTTCCACTTCATTAGAAGTAAGAGTCACAGAAAGCTGATCCGCTTGTTCCACTGGTGCTCCTGGATGCGTGGCACCCAGAGCAGCATTCACATGCAATTCCCTAAAGGTAAAAGCCTGTCAACTCACTTATTGATGTTCATTCGCCATCAGTGATACGCTTCGACTGGCCCAAAGAAACACACAGCCCAGCTTCTCCAATTCTCCCCAACATGCATCGTGACTGACAGCAAAGGTAGAGGTGCACATACAGGGGGGACTTCTGAAAGAACACTGCACTTGAGTGACCCATCTCTTCTGTGCCAGCTCCTTGGTTCCCTGCATGCACAACTTACTGGGAGCACTTTATGAAGATCTAATCTTGAAATGAAGAAGAGCTAATGAGAACGTAAGTGGCATGCAACAATTTGGATTCACACCCAAATACTTTTTGCCCCAGCTCTTTTACCACATCTCCTCAAGCAGGGCAGTAATACAAACTAGTTCTCTTCTGCAGTGTTAGTTAACTCAGACTAGTTAGACCCATCTAATCCCTAGACAAGCTGCATATACTCATTCAAGATCTTTGCCTTTAAAAGTTCCTAAAAGATTGAAAAGAAACTGCTGAAGATAACTTGTTCAGTGGCAGCACCCAATTTTCTGCTTTTCAAAAAGCACTGGCCTTGTTAAGATTGCTTTTAAAATCATTGGTTCTTGCAGGCAATGTGGTAATATGAACTCAAACTCCATGAACAGCAGTCCTGTGAATAGTAGAGTAAGTAACTGTAATACAAAAAAGAAAGAAAAAATGAAATCTAGATGTTTTAACCGAAAAAGTAATTTCAAGAAAGTTATCCATAGCAAGTATTACACTACTCTGTAACTTAGTGAAGACAACCTGGATACTTTCAGTCTGAACACTGGAAATAGCAAGGAAAACGTTATTAATAGTAACCACAATTTCATTCTTTGCACTGAGCACCATATAGGTCTGTTTTAATAAGTTGCCTGCTGACTAAAATGATAATCCTTGCAGAAGAGGAAGTAAGACCATTCTTCACCTCTCAAAGGTTCCCAGTAGGGAAACAGCATTCATTCTCCTAACATCCCTTTCTGAGGCAGCCAGATTCACAGCACATCAACAACTTATGAACTAAACCCACAGATCTCCAAGATGGTCCCAGTGTTACCATGGTGTTCAACAAAATGCAGAGCCAATTCAGCAAAACGAAACATCACGAAAAAGAACAAATTAGTTTTACTTAATTCAGAACTGTAACAGTGTGAGATTTTAATACAAATGTAGTTGCTTTGCAACAGTATGTAAGGCTTATATGTAAAACCCAAAAAGCTGTATAAACACTCTGGGAATGAACATATGGACTATTACAGCATTATGGTACTTGAGTATTTGCATTTAAATTAAATTAAACAGTGTGGGAAAACCCAGCTCTTCCCCAATTACTTTTCCCTTCATTACCATTAGGAATTCTAGAGCATCGCCCAAAAGCATCCAACTTAACCATTCACTCCAAGGCCTCAATCATAAATAAAAATGTTACTCATTATTTCATAATCATCAATAACAAGAGGGAAAAAAGGGCACTTTTTACATAGTTGAATCTCAGTGGAGACATTTAGTGATAATTACAAAATTTAAGGTAGACATTCGTCTCAAGAAAATTTGGAGAAATAAAACTGTTCTGTATCAGTATATTGTATATCAAGTATACAGTACATTTCATATATCAAGACAGAAAGAGCACAGTTTCCATC